TTTTTTTTTAATTTCTTAATGTGGATTTTATTTTTTAGAGAGAGAGAGACAGACAGAGCCCAAGCAGGGGAAGAGCAGAGAGAGAGGGAGACAAAATCCAAAGCAGGTTCCAGACTTTGAGCTGGCAGCATAGAGCCCAACTTGGGCTTCAAACTCTCAGACTGCAAGATCATGACCTGAGCCAAAGTCAGACACTTAACCGACTGAGCCTCCCAGGTGCCCCTAAAAAGTAAATTTTATGAAAATACTAATATGAAAATTAAAATACTAATAGGTAGCAGTTAAAAAGAGATAAAAGATATGAATACTAAGTAATCTCCAATCTCTTAAATATCAGCCTACTGCCTAGTCTTCAATACTCTGTGAAACTATCAGCCCTCCCCAAAGTGTAGCAAGTGAGGCATTACAGAGAACACTACTGTGTTAAGTTTTCTGCTTAGACCAATAGCCAGAGCTCGCTTCTGACTAAACAACCATATGACACATGAAAATATCTGCATGCTTACAGGAACTTTCTCTCTTGACCAGAATGCCACTATGTTGATTTCACAATCATTTTGTTTCATTTGAAGTCAAGGAGAAATTACTAGAGTACCTTGAAAAAAAAAAAAAAAAAAAGCAGTCCCTTGAAAATATTTTTCTTCACTGGCCATAGAACAACCTAAAATTTCTGTGGAAGATTGAAACAAAAATAGCTTCCAGAACTATTTTGATAGAAGATAGACAAAAATGCCTCAGGACTAATTTAGATTTAGTAAAGTAAGATTTTTTTTTTCTTGTGTGAATGAATCTCTTTAGTGGTATATAATTTATCTTCACAATGTCTTATCAACTATACAATGATCAAGAGCAGTGGCTTTAGAGTCACACTCCCTGGGCTCAAATCCTGCCTCTATCACTTAGTAACTATGTATTTTAATCCACTGTTGGCCATATTTCCTTCATCTGTAAAATGAAGTTAACTAGTGTTTACCTGATAATGTTGTGATGATTCAGTGAGCTACTACAAGCCAAATAGTATCACCTGCCTCCATCAGACCTTGATAAATGTTAACTATTGTCCTTGCTACTGTTATTATGCCTCCCTTATACAGTCTGTACCACTCCTCTTAAATTATAGAGTGGCTTTTTTGAGGGGGGGTGTAGGAATAGGCATAAAAATCAATGGAACGGAATAAAGAATCCAGAAAGAGTCCAACACCCATATGATTAATTAATTAAATAGGAACAGAGTTGCCAAGGCAATTCAATGGAAAGAGGAGTTTTTCAATAAATGGTGTCACAACACTGGGTATGGAGGTGGGGGAAGGAAAGAACCTTGACCCTTACCTCTTACCATACACAAAAATTAATTCAAAATGGAATATAGACCTTAACTATAAAAGATAAAACAAAAACTTCTAAAAGGAAACATAAAAACTCTTTGTGACTTTGAGGTAAACAAGATTTCTTGGATGGAACACAGAAAGCATGAACTATGAAAGGAAAAAAATGCTAAGTCAGACTTTATCAAAATTGAAAACTTCTACCCTTTCAAAGATATTAAGAAAATGAAAGTCAGAGATGCCTGGGTGGCTTAGTAGGTTAAGCTTCGACTTCAGCTCAGTTCATGATCTCACAGTTTGTGAGTTTGAGCCCCACATTGGGCTCTGTGCTGACAGCTCAGAGCCTGGAGCCTGCATCAGATTCTGTGTCTCCCTCTCTCTCTGTCCCTCCCCTGCTCGTGCTCTCTCTTTCTCTCTCAAAAATAAATAAACATTAAAAAAAATTTTTGTTTAATCAATCAATAATAAAAAGACATGTACTTTTAAAAATAGCAAAAGAAGGGGCGCCTGGATGGCTCAGTCGGTTGAGCGTCCGACTTCGCTCAGGTCACGATCTCACGGTCCGTGAGTTCGAGCCCTGCATCAGGCTCTGTGCCGACAGCGCAGAGCCTGGAGCCTGCTTCAGATTCTGTGTCTCCCTCTCTCTCTGGCCCTCCCCCCATTCATGCTCTGTCTCTCTCTGTCTCAAAAATAAATAAATGTTAAAAAAATAAATAAAAAAAAATAGCAAAAGATTTGAATAGACACTTTACAAAAGATGCTCAAAATCATTAGTCTTTAGAGAAATACAAATTAAAACCACAGAGAGACACCACTATACATCCATTACAGCAGCTGTAATTAAAAAGACACATTACCGGGGCGCCTGGGTGGCGCAGTCGGTTAAGCATCCGACTTCAGCCAGGTCACGATCTCGTGGTCCGTGAGTTCGAGCCCCGCGTCGGGCTCTGGGCTGATGGCTCAGAGCCTGGAGCCTGTTTCCAATTCTGTGTCTCCCTCTCTCTCTGCCCCTCCCCCGTTCATGCTCTGTCTCTCTCTGTCCCAAAAATAAATAAATGTTAAAAAAATAAAAAAATTAAAAAAAAAAAAAAAAGACACATTACCAGGGCACCTGGGTGCCTCAGTTAAACGTTCAACTCCTGTTTTCGACTGGGGCCATGATCTCGTGGTTTTTTAGTTGGAGCCCCACGTCGGGCTCCACACTGAGAGTGTAGTCTGCTTGGGATTCTCTCTGTCTCTGTCTCTGTCTCTCTCCCTCTCTCTGCTCCTCCCCCACTCACTCTCCCTGTCTCTCTAAATAAATTAATTTTAAAACAATTCTAATTAAAAAATTTTTTTAAAGACACACTACCAAGTGTTGCCAAGAATGTAGAGCAACTGAAATTGTCATGTATTAATAACATAAAAGTAGTACAACCACTATGCCAAACAGTTCGAAGTTTTCTTAAAGTATGCAACATACACTGAACACAGACCTAGCAATTCCACTCCCAGATAGCTACCCAAGAGAAACGAAAACATATGTCATGTGATTGGGACACAAATGTTTATAGCGGCTTCATTCATAATAGCCAAAACTTGCAAAGAATCCAAATGTCCATCAATAGATGAGTGGCTAAACTTGTGATAGATCCATGCTATACAAAACTATTCAGCAAATAAAAAGGAATAAACTATAACATTATGCTGAGTGAAAAAAGCTAGAACACAAAATAGTATATGTTTCCATTTATATACAATTCTAGAGAAGATACAGAAATCAGATCAATTGTTAGGTAAAGTGGAAGGTTAATGACTGCAAAGAAGCCCAGTGATCATTTACACTATTTCTGTACCCTGCTTGTGGTGACAGTTACAGGTTTTTGAGCTCAGACTCTTCACTTAAAATAGGTACATTTATTATATGCAAATTATATTTCAGTAAAGATGATTTTTTTCATGTTTCTCCTAAAATCAGACTTGAGTTATACTTCAAAAATAAGTGCAATTTCAGAATATTTTTACAAAATGTTTTGTGGATTTTAAGAACTTTTTCACATTAGAAAATCAATATATTTTCGTTGTAGAAACCAGATTTTGTATATTTTAAGGTAAGAAAGAAATGTTTTCCTTTATATTAATTTGTCTATTTCAAATAAAGAATCTATGAAATTGAGTGCATGAGCTGATTTGTGATTTTTTTTTCATACCTTGTTACTGGTGATCAAAGGTGCTGTGTGGACAGGCGACAACACGGCAGAATGGAGCTACCTGAAAATTTCTATCCCTATGTTACTCACCCTCAGCATTACTGGGATCCCTTTTTGTGGAGGTATGATGATATCCACAAGCTTGAAGTGAGAGAAAATAAAAAACTAGGGTGTTTCTCCATCCAAGCTGGTCACAAATGCCTTCTCATTAGCTGCTTTGGGAGGGTAACTGTGGAAAAAAGAAAATGAGGAAATTGAAGGGATACTTCCAAGCTGTTTGTGTCTCGTCTGAAGTGAGGGCATGAAATAAAGTCATCAGAGAGCCCAGAGTGCCTGGGTGGCTCAGCTGGTTAAGCATCCAACTTCAGCTCAGGTCATGATCTCCCAGTTTGTGAGTTTGAGCCCTGCGTCAGTGAGAACATGGAGACTGGAACCTTCTCTGCCCCTGCTCGTGCTCTCTCTCTCTCTTCTCTCTCTCTCTCAAAAATAAGTAAACATTAAAAAAAAATTTTTTTTTAAGTCATCAGAGAGCCCGAGTGCTTTTTTCCCTCTTTCTCTGATTCCTCCTTAGATGCTCTTGATAACTGAGTTTTTCTGAAACATACCTTTTCATCAAAGTGAGAAAAATGGAGAGAAGTACAAAGAATTTAGCAAATCAGAGATAAGCCTTACAGAAATCCTTTTTTACTCAGCAGGTTTAAAATTGTGTGACATATTTTAACTGTTTAAAAAAAAAAAAAAGATATGCTCTTGGGAAAGATAAATTTAGTTAAAATACGATTCCCTGACGGGTTGCTTTCCCTAAATCCTAGTAATTGTCTGTGGATGAGAAATCCCAGTATGGAAGGTGCTCGGCAAGACTAGCTCCAGCTGCTCCTTGTTTTTTTTTTTTTTTTTTCAAATTTTTTTTTATTCAAATTTTTTTTTTTTCAACGTTTATTTATTTTTGGGACAGAGAGAGACAGAGCATGAACGGGGGAGGGGCAGAGAGAGAGGGAGACACAGAATCGGAAACCGGCTCCAGGCTCTGAGCCATCAGCCCAGAGCCCGACGTGGGGCTCGAACTCACGGACCGTGAGATCGTGACCTGGCTGAAGTCGGACGCTTAACCGACTGCGCCACCCAGGCGCCCCTGCTCCTTGTTTTCTGTAGGAATAGAAGCAACTTAATGTCACACACATTTTAACAGATGTGTTTCTTATGGTATTGGTCCACAGACAAGAAATATGTATCCTCCTTAAGGACCAAGCATCACATTCTCCCTAAGTCTCTAATTCTGATTGTCTGTTTTTTAGTTCAGTAATTTTTATCTTGCTTTCAGCTGTTGCTTTCAAAAGGAAATCAGTTGCCAACCTCCTTACCCCGGCCCTGAACATACTTATTGAGACAGGTCGACATTTTGCAATTTCTGGGTTTGGGAACATAACAGAAATGTTAATCTTGCGGCAAAACCTCTGACCTTTGGACAAGAAAAGAGTATTCGAAGAGAATATTGTCAGCTCCCCAAACAGGCTGAGTTTTTAAATACGTGCTCCCTAATTTCAGGCCACAGTTTTATCCTGTCATTTTGAGTGTACATACAGCACATTTATCCCGTCCGTCTTCAAGCCCTCATTTTACCGGTGTGCAGTATTTGTTAGAAGACCGGTTGCCTCACTTGGCCTTTCTTTGCCTAACCAGCTGATGTAGGTGGCTTCATTGGGAATCCAGAAGCAGAGCTGCTAGTGCGTTGGTACCAGGCCGGAGCCTACCAGCCCTTCTTCCGGGGCCACGCTACCATGAACACCAAGCGGCGGGAGCCATGGCTCTTTGGGGAGGAACACACCCGGCTCATCCGAGAAGCCATCAGACAGCGCTACACCCTCCTGCCCTATTGGTATTTTCTGTTCTACCGGGCACACGTGGCTGCTGAACCCGTCATGAGGTAAATAGGCTTCACCAGTTGGGGGCCCCAGCACCCAATCTACACCAGAAAAATCCCCTAGCCATTGGGGAACTCAGTAATTACACAGTGATTTCAAGAGAAAAGCCATGTGTTTAATCAGCTGTCAATCAGATTATTGAGCACCCACTGTGAGCAGGGTCAAGGAGTTGAGGTCAAAGAAAAGCCAGATCCCCTGCTACTTTGTAATTCAAGTGTTAATATTTGCTAGAAGACAGAAATATAGATTTTTTTCAAAGAAAAAGGAAGTGACTATAGCTGAATTCATGGTTTTAACCCACAAGCATCCTCTCATGAAGAGCAACTTACTCTGCTGGTCTTGGAGTCTGTCTTACTCTTAGGGCTAAACCATTCCAAGTTGGAGGTGAACATTTTTTCCTGGCGTATAAATTATATTCTGATTCTATTTTGGAGGCAAGATGTGAAAAACCTACTTTCTAGGTTACTGAATGATACAGAGACACACATAGTACACCAAGGCTTCCAGATCAGCACTTCCTAAACCTGGCTCAGATCACAATCACCTGGGGGGGAGCTTTTTAAAACTATAGATTTCAAGGCCATACCTCCAGACCTGCCAGGAATCTCCTTGGGTAGATCTCAGGATCTGTATTTGTTAGAAGTTTCCCTGGTAATGCTAGACATCAGCCAGAAGGAAAGACTACTGCTTTGTTACTATTCAGTAGGAAAAGGATCTGTTATTACAAAGGCTAGTGAATAAACTAAAAATAAATTTATCTTACTAAAAAAATATCCTTTACTCATGAGGTTGAAAAAAGCATTAGAACCATTAAGCTGATATCCAGATACACAGATGTTGAAGATTTTATCTTTATAAGCCCAAAGGCCTCCTAGATAGTTGTGTAAAAGAATAAAAAAACAAAACCACACAGCTGTTTCTCAACCCTCCAAAAATGTTGCCAGCATGAAAACAAGTAAAACCAGTTCTTTTCATTTAATATAGGTAATAATTAAGGATGCACGAAAGGCAGTGACAGTATGAAAACATGGCACAGATTTTACATCATCATAAAAATACGGTTTTACACACATTTAATTTGTTCCACACTGAATGTGTTGGGCATTTGGACTTGCCCAAAGCTCTGATTCTGCCTTCAGAGTAGTCAGTGCTCAACAATCGGAAGGAAAAATTGTACTTACCAGAATTCTCAATCTTTCATTGGAACGTTCCAGTGAGTAGATAGGTCTTTCACATTAGAACAATATATAGTAATCCTAGCAATTGCTCATAAAATCTTAAATCACATGAAGAGTCTTGACTCTTTGGCTTTTTCCAATTTCCTTTGAGTAGTTATAAAACTGAAAATATAAGTGATTTAATAGTAATAAAACATTTAGTAATGTTGAGGTAAGAATTTTTTTTTCTTTCCCCAGGCCTCTATGGATAGAGTTCCCAGAGGAATTAAACACTTTTGGTGTGGAAGATGAATACATGCTAGGTGAGTTCTTATCACTATGATAAATATATTGTAATTATGTTTTTGTTATATTTCCTAGTATAAGAGCACTAAAAAAAAAAAAAAAAAAAAAAAAAAAAAAAAAAAAAATCGCTAATCTCAAGACAGCCAAAAAATAAAAAGTAATTCTGACATTAAGATTTTTAGTGTATTGGGGCGCCTGGGTAGCTTAGTCGGTTGGGCGTCTGACTTCAGCTCGGGTCGTGATCTCATGGTTTGTGAGTTCGAGCCGCACGTAGGGCTCTGTGCTGACAGCTCGGAGCCTGGAGCCTGCTTCAGATTCTGTGTCTCCCTCTCTCTGTTCCTCCCCCACTCGCACTCTCTCTCTCTCTCTCAAAAATAAATAAAGATTAAAAAAAAATATTTTTAGTGTATTAATTAATGGAAAGATAGCTCTATTCTGTGGTCATGTTGCACTTCTCATATTGTTAACTTCATATAAATCTATTCTATTTGTGGATGCAATTTCAGGTTCTTGTTCTGGTCCACTTATAAGCTTTATGATACCACTATAGGGAATGGAAGTAGAAAACAGTAGACCAGACTCAGAGGGCTTACTTCATAAGCAAAATAGGGTTGTTGATGTTGTTGGCCTCTTCTTTAACAAGGTTTGGCCACCAAATCCACCATAGGGACATTTATCATCTTGGAAATAGGACTCAAGAAACCATGCTCAACAGAGAATTGCCCAAAAGGTGAATCCTGTTTCTAAGGAGTGGAAATCCTAAAACACAAAAAGCTTCACGCTCTCTCTCCAATCATTCTTAGGTCTCAGTTTAAATAGCTACTTCCTTGGAGAACATTTCCCTGACCAGAATTGCTTCTAATACCCAATTACACCTAAATTTAGTCAAAGTCAGTCCCTCTTATTACATAACTTTCATTCCGTTTTGTGCTTTTGCCTTTTTGGTTTTTGTCCCAACTCTAATTTGTAATTATTTGTTTAATAACTGTCTTTACTGACTGCAGACTCCATGAGGATAGGCATATTGTCTGTCTTATTTGCCACTCTATCTCCAGAGCCTAGCATAATGCCTGGCACTCACCCGGAACTCAATAAATATTTGTAGAATTAAAGAGTGAATTCATAAATGGATGAAATTTATATCCATATGGGGCCATGGTCAAAACAAAATTAATAATCCAGATTGCCTTTAAGAGAATTCCAGCGGGGCGCCTGGGTGGCTCAGTCGGTTAAGCTGCCAACTTCGACACAGGTCATGATCTCACGATCCGTGAGTTCGAGCCCCGCGTCGGGCTCTGTGCTGACAGCTCGGAGCCTGGAGCCTGTTTCAGATTCTGTGTCTCCCTCTCTCTCTGACCCTCCCCTGTTCATGCTCTGTCTCTCTCTGTCTCAAAAATAAATAAACGTTTAAAAAAAAAAAGAGAGAATTCCAGCCTTCCTAATGATAACTGCCCACTGCCCCACTGATACACTCCTATCCATGCTGACCACAGTTCTGGATAACAGTTGTAGGCTCACCGTTTTCAAAGTCACTTACAGAAAACAGTGACGCACTTGGAGAAGTGCAGTAGCTCCTCCAGACTCCTGGCATACGAGCAACTGTGCACAGGAGACTGTGATGGACTGTGGCAGGGTCCCTCTCTATTAACCTAATATGCCATAAATAGATTAGTGATAATTAAGAATACAGTCCCCGATTTGAGCACTGGTCCCCTCTCCAAAGTGCATCTCTCTGATGAATCATTGGTTCAGTTCACCAAGGTCTGTACTTTCACCAGGTTCATAGTTGAGTGATCTCTACAACGACAAAAGCACGCAGAGGAGAAGGATGTTTTCAGACTTCTTAGAATGATGTTCAACTTTATTTCTTCTCTGTTTTTCAGGAAGTGCTTTATTGGTTCATCCAGTCACAGAACCAAAAGCCACCACAGTCAGTGTGTTTCTGCCAGGATCAAATGAGGTAAGAATAAATGAGAAACAGCCACATATCTTACATGTCTCATATCTTCTCCCTTCACTCTGATGAATTAGCCCCTGTTAGGACATAGATTTCTGCATCATGCAGTTGGGAAGACAGCCCAAATGTCTATGGCAACTCAAGATTCTTGTAAATCATGACCTCAGAGGTCAAGAAACATAACGAAAGAGTGGGGAGAAAGATGAATAGGTGACAACACCGGGGAGGGTTAGAAGGTTCTTTACCTTCACGCTTTGACTTGTGTAAGTGACTCCTTGTTAACACATGGAGGCTTTGAGTAGGAAGAAATCTTCAGTCTACTAAGAGGTATTAGTGTGTGGGGGGAAACATAAGAAGAGACTTTGCTCATTGGTTCTGGCCCTATCTAAATCCTAAGTTTTTGGTACTAAAAGCTGTCTCCAGGCACTTGCCAAAGTGGGTAAAAAGTAACAATGGTGACTTCCTTTGTGCCTCCCCCCCCCCCCCCCCCCCCCCCCCCCCAGCCTCCCAGTTCTTTTATTAGTTATTGGCTTTGATTATTATCACTGTATAAAATACCACCCTGGACTTCTGGAGCCCAGGACACTGAACCAAGGCAGGACACAGGAAGATGTGGGATTAGCCCATGGGATGCAGAGCAGAGATCCACAAGCAGTAACAGCAACATCCTCCAGAGACAGACCATGGATGGTGCAAAGGGGCCAGGAGAAGAGGCAGGGCAGAAACTTGGGGCACCAGACCGGGTAAAGAAGGTATGGAATGGAGAGCAAAGAGGAGACAAATCCTGGAGAGAGTCCTTGAGCACTGGAACATCGCCAGAGACCTTTGTAGCCAGGGGGAGGAGGTGTGAAGGTTACCAAACTGATGTGAGACGTCCATGTCAACATATTCCTGGACTGTCAAGGCTTGTGGTGAGGTAGCTGAGCCGGGCCATGCTTAGTGCTCAATACTGTCGAGTGCCGGTGAGGCAATACCACGAAACATCCAGCACTGGCATTCTCCCTCCATCCAGCTTTACCTGTGGGGTTGCTGTATTCGTTTCCTGAGGCCGCTGTAACAAATTACCACAAATCTGGTGGCTTAATTTAGCAAAAATTTATTCTCTCCCAGTTCTGAAGGCTTGAAGCCCCACATCAAGGTGTCAGTAGGGTTGGTTCCTCCTGGAGGTCCTGAAGGAGAATCTATTCCATGACTCTCTCCTCGTTTCTGGTGGCTGCCTGCAGTTCTTGTAGTTCCTAGCTTTGTAGCCACAGCACATCACCTAATACATGCCACCATTGTCACGGCACCTTCTCCTCTGTGCGACTGTGTCTCCTCTTCTGTCTCTCATTTGAGGACCCTTGAGATGACATTTAGGACCCACCTGGATAATCCCAGATGATCTCCTACTCCCAAAATCAAATTTGTTACCACAGGAAGGAATATTCACTCCTAGGGATTAGGAAGTACATACACCTTTTTGAGGGGCCACCATTCAGCCCACTATGTTTGTCATTATTGATATGGCAATACCCTGGCTCTTCTCCAGAATGTTCATAAATTATGTTCTTTCCTCTTGATTTCTCCAGTAATTTGCAGTTCTGAAGATGAGGGCTCTTTACAAAGGTTCCCCCTGAGTAAACAACAACAGCTAAATAAACTGTTAGGCCAAGCACTTCTGCCGAGAGTTTTGCAATTCGATTTTATTTATTTATTTATTTATTTATTTATTTATTTATTTATTTTCAACGTTTATTTATTTTTGGGACAGAGAGAGACAGAGCATGAACGGGGGAGGGGCAGAGAGAGAGGGAGACACAGAATCGGAAACAGGCTCCAGGTTCTGAGCCATCAGCCCAGAGCCCGACGCGGGGCTCGAACTCACGGACCGCGAGATCGTGACCTGGCTGAAGT